TGCGGCATTTTGAGTGATGATGAGTAGATGTCCTATGGTAATAGCACCATTTCTTACCAAGAACCGAAGAAGTAGGGCAGGGAAAAACCACTATAGTGTGAGAAGAAATAGAACCAGGTGGAAGTGTAAGGGAGGCAACAGCCCTTTTCCTTGTCTCCTCAGATTTCATCTCAACAAGAGCTGTCTCAAAAGATAGAGTAGGAGTCTGATTCAGGATAGATGAGCATCTATCTTCATACTCATCGAATAAACCCATCAGAATTGACAAACACGTTTGTTATCCCAAGCAACGTTATAGTAAACCAAGTAGGCGGTGCATTATTTAGGATAAGATTACTTATACAAGAGAATAGCCATGGAACTATAATAATCTTGTGACATCCTACCGAGTTGAGTCTTTGCATTGAGTCGAGTCTTGCATTGAGTTGAGTCGAGTTGAAACCAAACCCGGTTGGGGTAGAATGGGATGTTGAATACCCCAAAACCCGTTGGGGAAGAATTGGATTATTAGTGGATTTACTGATGAGTAGAAATAAGAGCAAATGTTAGGATTTAATTTATATAAAGTAACAAGCTCGGAGTATTCTAATTCTTTACCTGATCGTTGGTACCATAGTATATTTTTCCATTCATTTTATTCCTTTGATATGATGCTTTTACCCATAATTCTTTTCATTTAGCTTCCGCTTGTTTATCCTTGTATCGCTCTTATTTCTTTTTCGTTCTTCTTTATACCTTTCAAATTCTCTCCAAGTTAGAATTCCTTGAAGTTGTGATGATTAGTTCCTATTCCATTTTGATTTCTTATTGGAGTATGTAGTTATTGGAGAATTTTTTGTGTTAGGAGATGAATAAGGTTTTCAAAAAGGTTGCACGAAAAGAGAAGCTCTTAGAAATGAGTGCTCCATCGCAATGTTTTCTGGTAGTATAAGGTTTGATATTCTTGATTTTTTTATCATTCTTCTTTGCTATGAGAATTTTGGAAGTGTGTTGCTATAGACATATATTTCTTTATGTGATGAAATGTAGTTTGTGAGATAAATATTTAGGTCAGTATTTGAGTTTTGTTGGAAAACAGGTATTGAGGACTCATCTTGATTCTTGACGCCTCATTTAATGAGTGGACATTAGCAAGTGTCATAGAAGGAGTTTATTTTGTTCTCTCTATGTGTTAGCTTTGCATATGCGGTTTTTTGTAATCACCCAAAGTAGATTTGTTATACTTGAGAGATATGTGACCAAAGCGTTGTGATCTGCGTCAGGCTTGGAAACGCGTTCGCTCTGATTCTCTTCTTGTGGTTACATGCTAATGGCTGAAGACGTTCAAGCTTGCGCTCCGCAACTTTGCACTGCGTCTTCGCTGCGTTGACTTCCACTTCAAACTCATCTGACTTTCATTCTTCGCTCTTCTCGCGGCTCTGCGACCTTGCTCACAGACTGCGAGATCTTGCAAGACGCGATCGCGAAGTTGGCCCTTGGCCTGGAAGCGCTCGCGACTTGCACTGCGCGCTCGCGTAGTTGGCATGAAAACTCTCTGACTCTCAATTAGCATATTACGCGATCGTGACTCTCAAGTGCGCGCTCGCGTAGTTGGCATGAAAACTCACTGTCTCTCATCTGGCACACTACGCGCTCGCGACTTTCAAGTACGCGTTCGCGACTTGTGCCTGATAACACACTGTCTCTTATTTTCTGCATCTCGCGCTCGCGACTTCCACAGGCGCGCTCGCGACTTGGTTTTTCTTGCATTTTTGGACTTTCTTTTTCCCTTTCTTTTTTCTATTAATTGGGTTCTTTTGGCTCAACTTGTCTGCATCCAAATCAATAAACAAAAAGACAACATGCTAGGAAAGCATGGGTATCCAAAAAACATCCAAGCATGCAAATGATGTGTTTGAAATCTCTATGAACATTATAATTTATGAAGTGGATGAACTATTACTATGATGTCTGTGTTATTCATCTTGACATAACAACACTATTGCTCCATTGGGTTAGGTAGAAACCATGTCAATAAGCCATTGTCGCACATTAGGAGAGCAGACTCTGCCCTCATGCAGTTTTTACTCCGGCTACAGGCCGTTGATTACTCCGGCTACAGGCCGTTGAGTGGATATGATTATATGGGCCATAGCAGCCAAGTATACAGTATTCATCCAGTTTATACAGTTTTCTTATCACCTCGATTTCGCTATAACCTTATGGAGCCATACAGATATCTGGACATAACATTGCATAAATCATACAGATAAATGAAAGATATCATGATATGTGTGCTGTGCCTTGTGTGCCTACATGATTCTTTATATACAAGTATGTGCTTTATTGTTTCTTTCCATGTTGAGATATCCACTGAGCTTTATTTGCTCAGCGAGTTACCTGTTTAACTCGCAGGTTTTGAGACTAGTCCATAGAGGGTCCGTTTAGTTTAAACTGCTTGCCGTTCCATCTATAGAAGACTCGGTTCTTCAGTTGGTAGGAAACTCATTTTGTTAATTTATTTTTTTTTTTTGGCATGTACAGGGCACACAGTTGGGCCCAAATCCATTTTCGTAAACAGTATCATGTCTTATAAAATATTCAGTACTTATTTACTATTAAGCAATCTCAGCATGGATATTAGATTTCATTATACATTATTGATTTCAGTCATGTCAGTTCATTTCGATCAACCAGTTGTATTATAGCGTCTCGGCTCGTTTATTTCGGGGTTTACGGGTGTGACTCGAGAAAGGGGTGTTGACAAATCTTTCGTATCAGAGCCCTGGTTTCGAGTTTCCCTGGCTTGCATTTCATAAGTCAGTATAGTGTACATGCCATGACTACCCTGTATAACTTAAGCAGTTTGGTTGTTCTTTTAGGAGGATGTTCAAAGATGTGTGAGAGTGAGTTCACAACGCCTCCAAGGCAGTGGGCGGTGAGGCTTCCTAGCAGGCACCAGGTCAAAGGCATATTTAAAGCAACTTGCAATACTTTTCAGATACCAGGGATTGCTAGGAGTATACCTTCAAGACACACAGTCATAGAGAAAGGACAAAAGCCCCCACTGGAGAAGCTTAGAAATATGTGCAAAGGATTCAAAGCGAGCAAAGACGATAGTCCCGAAGTAGCTGAGTACTGGCTAGCATGGGACATCGAGAGTTCCTAGAACAATTTGCAGTGTTTTACAGCAGAAAACAAGTTGGTTTGTGCCATTCATTGCTAATAGAAGAAGAGCTATACATGGCTGGACCACTGATGCCAACAGAGAGTGAAGCTAACAGGCAGATCAGCGGACTGCCAATTCTTCTTGGATGATTCAGAAGAAAGTTCTCACGAGGCTTACGCTTAGTGCGGAGAGGAAGGTCGAGTTCTTATTACCTGACGACAGAACAGATGTCAGTTTCCAGATATGATTAAGAGAATTTTACCAGGGCTCAGCCTGGCCTATGTAGGGATAGTGGCTACAGAAGCGAAAGGTTTGTAAAAAGTTCCAAAAGGTCTAAATGATGAAATTCAGATGGAGTTGGTGAGGCTTCCAGATTCAGAGAATTCTCAGCCTTGTAGAGGGCGAGCTCAAGAGATAGAGCGATATTCAGGCTTAGATCACGTACCAGCTGCCACGGGACTCAGTAGAGGAGAGACCAAACTCAGAGGCACCTAGTAGCTATCAGTAGAAAGTAAGAGCACTTCAGGATGGTGCTAGTCGTTCATTCTGGTTCTAGACCTTCCTTTAGCAAGGCGGCGCAGCTAGGGTCGCATAATCATGCCACGTCATCAGTTGTGGAGTTCCGCGGTTTTGTATAGAGGTTCAGGCAGGGAACTGTAGAGCACCAGTAGATGTGCAGAGACGGCCAGTTATCTTTTCCACCTTTGTGAGCATTTGTGGCAGACGGATGTGGAGATTGTTGAGTTCGGTGACTTGAGTAAATGTTGATATGGCGGAGCATCAAACCATTCAGAAGAAGATGTCCTAAAGGGCAAAGAGTTTAACAGTTCATAGCAGCAGAGGAGGGTGAGGAGCTCCGTTGAGGGCAAGACAACAATCAGTAGACTGTGGATTCTAGACCTGATACTAGAGTCAGCCAGGGTTTTATGCTATGCACGACCAGAGAAGAGGAGGAAGCTTCCAGATGTAAATAGTTGTGGTTGAGTTTTCTCATATGTGGTCATACAGTTTATGTCTTTAATTGATCCTGGATTCACACATTCATTAACATTAGTTGTCCAAAACTTGGTTAAAGGGTTAGAAGTTGCATGAATTGTGAGTTCAGGTATGGTAGTTACTAATCCACTTAGTGATATGTTATAGTAAACTCCCATCATGATCGAAGGATGTGCCCAATGCCCAATTGTTATACATGGAAAAGAGTTTCCAGGAGATCTTATGGAGTTGCCATTTAGAGAATTTGATGTTATTCTGGGTATGGATTGGCTAGCCAAACATCAGGCTATAGTTGATTGTGCAAAGAAAAGGGTGACATTATATACTACAGCAGGGGAAGAGATAATAATAGTCGGGAAGCGGCGAGATTTTCTGGGTAATATGATATCAGCCATGACAGCAAAGAGATTAATTCAGAAGGGTTGTGAAGCATACTTGGTATGTGCATTACACGCAGAGCAAGAACAGTCAAAAGTGCAAGAGGCTAAAAGTGCAGATATACTAAGTAACAGTGTGTGATTACCAGATGTAATTTCCAGAACACGTTACCGAGTTACCAGGGTTACCACCAAGGAGGGAAGTGGAGTTTACTATAGATGTCTATCCTGGAGCAGCACCAGTATCAATTGCACCTTAGAGAATGGCAACAGCAGAGCTAAAAGAGTTAAAGATTCAGCTACAGGAGTTATTGAATAAAGGCTTTATCAGACCCAGTGTATCACCTTGGGGAGTGTGAATACTCAAATTTTGAGGCTCAAAGAGCCAATTATCCCGGACTGCAAACAGTCCAGCCGGACCGAAGGCCATTTTGAAAGTTCACCGAAAGTATGCCAATATGGTACTTAAAACGTCCGGAATGTCGCGAGGAGGGTGCAGGTATGTTTTCTAAAATCGATCTCAGGTCAGGATACCATCAGTTGCAGATAAAGGAAGAAGATATCTCCAAGATGGAATTCAGGACCCGATATGGTCACTATGAATTTTTAGTAATGCCATTCGGTCTCACTAATGCACCGGCGGTTTTCATGGATCTTATGAACCGCGTGTTTCATACAGCTGGTTTACAACTAGACTCATGAACCAGCGTTGTTTCATTCATATTTGAGATCAGTTTTGTGGGTGGTGTTTCATATGATGACATTTTTGGTCTAACTCCAGAGACAGGGTTGAACCATGATAAACATTTTGCGGATCCGTACTTCAGACATTGAAGGGAAATAAACAAGCTGTATGTCCAAGGCTCAGTAAAGTGTGAAGTTTGGCTGGAAGAAGTTTTTCTTTCTTAGGAACATATCATCGGAGGGTATCAGAGTGGATCCTAAGAAGATTGAAGCTATTGTTAATTGGAGACCACCCAGAAATGTTACAGAAGTTCGCAGTTTTCTGAGTTTAGCCAGTTATTACAGAAGGTTCGTAAAGGGATTCTCTATCATTTCATCACCTTTAACAAAATTATTGAAGAAAGCAGTTATATTCCAATGGGATGATAGAGGTCAGCAGAGTTTTGACACTTTGAAGAAAAAGTTGACAGAAGCACCAGTGTTGACCCAGCCAGTGTCAGGTAAAGACTTTGAGATTTACAGTTATGCTTCTCATATTGGGTTAGGATGTGTACTTATGCAAGACAGGAAGGTGGTAGCTAAGACAGGAAAGGTGGTAGTTTATGTCTTCCAGACAGTCAATTAAAGCCACATGAAATTGAATTATCCAACCATGATTTAGAAACTGGCAGGCTATTGTTCTATGCAATTCAAGAAAAGTTAGGTGGCGCGCAGTTTCTGTTGGTGAAAAGTGTCACATTTACACGTAAAATCATCAAAGTATTAATAAGTATTTACCCAACACAGAAAGATTTTGAATTTCACAGACAACGGAAGTCTCGGATAGCAATACGAATTCTGGCATAAATTTATGTGATTGGTGCTTCATCATAATTTATACCTATCCCGGGCAAAGCTAATTGTGGCTAGCTGTAATACCCCTTAAGCCGCGGAAAGGGTACACTCTGTTCTGCCTTTGAAAGCAATGAAGAATTCGCATGGAGTTGCAACAGCAGGGACGTGATTAGCAACAGATGACAAATACGAGCCATCTTGGAGTTCCGGAAGTTGGAGACAAGCAACACAGAAGAAAGATGCACAAACAGCAACTATGGGTGACAAGTTACAGATTACCAGGAAAGATCAATGGTGGGAAATTCAGAGTGGATAACAGTGGAGTCTTTATTCTCTACTAGAAGACAGAGTTGTTGTACCTGCAAGACAGGAGAGCTTAGACAAAGGAGTTCTGACATGGAGCTTCATCACAACAGTCCATATACAATGCATCCAGGTAGCACCAAGATGTATCAAGATTTGAAAAAAGGCTATTGGTGGCCGGGCATGAAGAACGATATTGTACATGTTGTAACAAGATGTTTAACATGTCAACAGGTAAAAGCAGAACATCAACTGCCATCCGGGTTACTTCATCCAATAACAGTGCCAACATGGAAATGGGATCAGATCACGATGGATGTTGTTACTGGCTTACCACAGACGCAGCGGAAGCATGATGCAGTATGGGTGATTGTGGACAGATTAACTAAGTCCGCACACTTTCTACCAGTTAAGATGGACTATTCTCTAGACAAGTTAGCATGGACTATTCTCATAGCCAAAGTTAGCCGAAATTTATGTTAGAGAAATAGTTGACTACAATGGGAGTTCCATCCATTCCATTATTATCTCGCACTCGTTGAGTTCCATCATCCATTATATCTGATCGTGATCCAAGATTTAAATCGAAGTTCTGGGGTAATCTGCAGGAAGCATTAGGAACAAAACTGCATTTCAACACTGCATTTCATCCTCAACAGATGGCCAGTCAGAGAGAGTAATTCAAATCCTGGAAGACATGATGAGATCATGTGTTATAGAATTTGAAGGTGTTTTCGCACCACCCCCGAGCGATCCGAAAAACTGTCACTTTTTGTTTTGATGGAAAAGATGATCTTATTTTGAACAGTGGTGACAAAACATTTTATGGATGCAATGCCGATAAATCGGTCTTATAAAACATTTTTGAGTTGCCACCCATTATATCGGCAATGGGACCATTTCCAATTTTATTTTATAACAAGTGACTCCATTTTACACCCAACTTTATTTAAGGCCAAATTATTTAGAAAACTGGTCAGGCGCACCAAGGCGATTCTGCGTAAGGGAATTGGGTACGCCGGCTCGTTGGAAGCCGATGCCTAGAAAAACTGGCCTCTTTTAACCTACGATTTCTAATTTATTTTAGAAAAAGCCAAATTATTTATTTACTTAAACCCAACCCGAATGAATCGAACCGAGTTCTTATATGGAAAATTAATTAATCGTATAACGAGATTGTTGAACGTGTCCCGGACCATTGGCCTATCGCCCTAGCACATTATCCTTCAACCTTAGATTCGGATTCATAAGGTCTTTCTACCGTATCAATAGATAAAGCCGATGTATATCAGCCAATCTCCAGACCCATTCTATCATGTGTTATTCGGCAGAAGAGATCTTTGTACATTCAGCCGGAATTCTCACTTATGAAGAAGTATCAGTTCCCAGAATCCATAAAGCAAGGAGAACAATGAAAGAACTACAGGAAAAGAGAAAATCAGCATCTGGTAAAAGATATCTTTGGAGAATCATAGACAGAAGAAGCAACTTTGGAATCTGAAGAAACCATGCGAACAACAGTATCCGAGTTGTTCACAACAGGAAACTTACGAGACGAAGTTTTTATTTTAGGAGGGGAGAATTGTGACATCTACCGAGTTGAGTCTTTGCATTGAGTCGAGTCTTGCATTGAGTTGAGTTTCCCGAGTATTGAACCCAAACCTGGTTGGGGTAGAAAGAGATTTAAGAAAGAGATTAGAAGTGGACTTATTTGCAAATAAAGGTTAGGACTTGTTTGCATTAAAATATACAGCTTGGGTATTAAGTTGTAGCCTTTGTACACTTGAGGTGCCAATTAGAGAGGTTATACAGCCAAGTCATTTCATCTAGAGACTACCCGTTCTTATCAACTCACTTTCCCATTTTCACGTTTCTCCTTCTCTTCTTACTTGTCCCGCCCATTTTCTTTCAATTGTCAACATAGTGAAGCATTAAGTCAACTTCAAGTAAGTAAAATTCCTTGAAGTGTGATGTTATTTCCTATTTCATTTAGTGATATTGGAGATGAGTTATGAGAATTCTTGTGTATAGGAGAAGAAAGTTGCAGAAAAGAGAAGCTGAAACAGAGTTCAAGCTTTTGACGTCAAGGTTTGATATCTCATGTTGTTTACTACTTTCTTTGCATGTAAATTGTGTAGTGTGTTGCCAATGAGATGATATGTTGCTTGTTGTTGGGTGGAAGTACTGGAAATGATGTGAAAACAGGGGATGAATATATGAAGCGGAAACAAAGTTTGCTGGAAATGTTACCAGCAACTTCATCTTGATTTTGAACCCATATAATGATGGAATTAGGAATTGTCATAGAAGAGTTATTTGTTCACAGAAGAGTTATTTGTCCCTTTTTGTGTTAGCTTTACGCGCGTTTTGGAATCACTCAATTTGAAGTTGTATATTGAGAGTTATGGCCAAAAGAACACAGACTGCACAATCTGGAAACACGTCGCGCGCCCGCGGGGTTTGGAAAGCAAGTCGCGCTCGCGACTTTCACATGCGCGGTCGCGACTTTGGTCAAAAACTCTCTGACTCTCAAATGGCACATTTCGCGCTCGCGAACTCCACAAGCTGCATGCATCCAATCATTTTTCAACAAAAATACAACCTAAGAACATGGATTAAAACAACATACAAGCATTTATATGGAGAGCTAGTGGGCTGGCTGCTGTAGCAGTGGTTGGTGACGAACCACGGCGTTGTTGTGTCGATCTGCAGTAGCGACCGAAGGCTGAGATAGCAAAGAGCGATGGCGCTGTTGCGATTCACCCAAAATGAAAACAGAGGGAGAGAAAGAGAGAGGCTAGTGGCGGGATGGCGAGGGGTGGTGGCGTCAGCTGGCTCAGGTGGCCGGAACGCAAAGAGAGGAAGAGAGGGGCTGACTACTGCTGGACGAAGAAGAAGAAAGAAGGAGAGAAAGAAAAGAAATGAAAGAAAAAAGAAATTTCTTGGTTTGATAAGTCATTCTGGTTCGATTTGATCTGGGTTTGGTCCAAATCAAAGATTTGCTCCGATTTTCACTTGGTTTCCGTGGGCCGGAGCGGCACTAGGACCTGGGTGAACTTAAGGCCTCCGAGGCTCGTAGTAAGCCTATCTTAGTTAACCCATATTCTATTTATAATTGTGGCTTCAGACCTAATAACTTATTTCACCAATATATCAAAAGTACAATTCATATAATTAATATATGTACTTTTATTATTCAATTACAACTCATTTGGAGTACAATTGCAGAACTCCATAATCTACAATCCTTAACATTTACATGGCTAACACAACTATTAACAAGTTTCTAGCTTCGATATTTCGACTCAGTCGGGTCCATAGGACTCTCCTTTCTTCATATTATCTGAAAAAAAAATAGGAGGCAAGGGTGAGCGCCAAACTCAGTAAGTAGGGTTAAATAACCCTCTCACCCCACACAATCACACATATGTCATAATAAATTAATTTAGTCCTCCGACTAGTTATATGATCATGCAGTTTGTCACACAAATGGCAATAAAACAACAATCACAATTATTATCATCTTCATATAATCACATCACGTGGAAATTAGTCAGTGGCGTCACCGAAACCCTTAATGAGTCGTCTTCTCACATGGCTCATCCTCTCATAACGTATGCACCAGGGAGCTGATCCCCATACATGGCCGACCGATCTAATCCTCACTTGACCAATCCTCTCATTGTTTTTGCATTCTCTCTTTTCTTTTCCATACCATCAGGATTCGGGTTTTACGGGTGGACCGGAAGGGGTGTTAACAGTTTTGTTTTGTGGGACCTAATGGGATTGAGATTTACCAATAAAAATAAAGCCATTCAAGACATGGAAAGTCGCCAAGAACAGAACATTCAGGTGAGAAGCTTCTTAGGGAAGATCCAGTATATCAAGCAAGGTTTCATTTCCAAGAATTATCTATTACCTGTGCTCCATCTTCAAAGTTGCTTAGGAAGAAACCAACACAGTTAGAATGGACGAAGGATTGTTTAGAAGGCGTTTAAATCATATAAACGGAGTTACTTAATGAATCCACCGCGGTGGTTAAGTTCCCCTAAGACTGGAGAACCTTGTGATTCTGTATGCTATTCTGTGCTGGCAAATCTTCAAGTTGCTTAGGAAAGACCAACCGGGTCAGATGGAAACGAGGATTGTTAGAGGCCTTTAATCATATAAAGGGAGTACTTAATGAAAATCCACCGGTGTTAAGTTCCCTAGACCTGGAGACTTGAATTCTGTTTTGTCTGTAGAGGACGCAGGAGTTTTGGAGCTATAACTGGCACAGGCCAGACGCTGCTGGAGTAGAAAAGGCCATCTATTTATCAGTAAGAAATTAACTGCCTATTGAGGAAGAAGTATATTTGAATAGGAAAAGACATGTATGGCAGTGGTGTGACATGTATGGCAGTAGTGTGGTCGATCAAGAAGTTGAGGCCTTATTTTGATTCTTTCAGGGTCACCTTTGTTTCCAAAATTGATCCTATAAAGTATCTT